TGAGTGATAGGGTCTCTCCAAGTGACTTCCAGAAGTGAGATGCGTCCTGGTCCTGTGTCTTACAGATAATCTTACAAATAGTCTTTTGCATTTATATCATGCTTTCAACTTTAAAAGGATCATAATGCTGATTGTGTGAACTTAGGCAAATCACGAGAGGTAGAGCAGGAAGGGTTGCATCAGTGCTTAGTTCTTGTGACCCTTTCTTACACGCCCAGGGAAATGCTGATCACTACTTTGGGGCCAGGAAGCAATTTTTCTCCAGGCCAGTTTGGCCCCCATTGATCCTGGAGGTTTTCTTTTATCATATTCTGGGCGTGGAACAGGTGTCACTGGGGTGTGTGGGGGGTATTGGTGAATTTCCTGCATTGTGCAGGGGGTTGGACTAGATGACCCTGGAGGTCCCTTCCCATGCTATGAGTCTATGATTCTATAATTCACCCAGGCTGGCTGTGGGCATGCCAGCACCTCTGTCAGGCAGAAGCGCCTGAGATCCTCCCCCTCCCCTTTTCCTTTGTCCGATTTGGAGGCGAAGGGAAGGGAGAGGGGGGAAAGAATGGATCCCAGGTGCTTCTGCCTGTCAGAGGGGCTGGTGCACACTTCCGGTGATGTCAGGGGGTGTGGCATATGCTAATAAGTTATGCTAATGAGCTCCTGCAGCTCTTTTTCCACAAAATAACCCCTGTCTGTACCAAATGTCTAATAAAGGTTCTGTACTGTACTGATTAACCCTTATAGTGCCTGAAAAATGTGGTTTATTTCAAGCCTTGGGAAATGCTGTCAGGTTTCTTACATTTCATGCAGGAGTCTCCCTTTGAAGATCTTTTTGCTGGAGAATGGGGAAGTTAGTCAAGCCAAAAAGCCACGGCATATAAGAAGTACAGTATAGACATCTTATTTAACAAGCAGGTCAACAACAATGCAAAGACTGAATATACAGCTTAATTTTTCCATCTTGTTCCAGTGTTGTCTTCTGGCCTCTGGCTGCTGGATGAAATCCTGCTCAGGTCAGTGAATTTCAAATGACAAGTCTGCTTTGTGCAATAGGGGAATGGCATTGCTGTCTTCCAAGTGGACTTCATGAAGAATTGTTTTTTTTATAGCCCATCCTGCCTTCAAGTAATTCAGACTGGTATTTTAATTGCATAACAACCCTGGGAGCTGAGTTAGACCAAGATCTGCCCTGGTGAGCCTCATAGCCAAAGGTCACATTATCGGTTAGGGCAGCGGTTCTCAACCTGTGGGTTGCAACCCCTTTGGGGGTCGAATGACCCTTTCACAGGGGTCGCCTAAGACCATCGGAAAACACAGTTATGAAGTAGCAACGAAAATAATTTTATGGTTGGGGGGTCACCACAACATGAGGAACTGTATTTAAAGGGTCGTGGCATTAGGAAGGCTGAGAACCACTGGGTTAGGGGGGGAAAATCTGCCCCTTTAATTTCCAATGTAGGTTAGCCAGTATCTTTTCAGTAATGTTTGAAGGACATTTGCATATCTGAAAAGGAGCCTCATCCTAGACTGCCACATCTTAGACTTAGAGCATTGTTAGGGTAGCTAGTGTTACACGAGATGTGCTTTAGCGTCTTCTGATGTAGGTGGAAAGAAGGCAGTTACAAACCTGCTGCCAGTTCTCTCCCTTGTGTCATATTATTAACCTCTCTCCTCAGCTCTGGCAAGCAAGCATGCTATACAGCAGGTGAAGGGGGAGGGAAGGCCAGGAGCAGACAGAAAAGTGTAAATGGCCCTGGAATAAGTCAAGCTGAGCGGCCCTTGCTGTGCTACAGACCTGCATAGTAGGGCTACTCAGCTCCTTGAGGACGACAATGGGCATTAGCTCATCCTCTACAACATTCCCCCAACTAGAAGCAGTGCAGGAGGAGCTGACACCAACTGCCATGGCTGATGAAGGATCTGGGCCAAATGGCCCTGAGGCTCAGGCAGAATTGCTGGGGTTTGGCTCTGCTTGCTCCTGGCCACCAGTGGCCTCCTAAGGCAGTGGCCCACCAGGAAATTTCCCTGTAAGTTAAATGGCAACTCCACTCTGGGGAAGGCTTTGGGGGCGGGAAAGGGAGGGGTAGGAACTGTGCTTGTCCATTTTCTGCTGCATCAGGAGATTTAAAGGTAGGTAGCCAGTCTAAGGGAGCTGTGGTGGCTCAAGTGGTTAGGATGCTGAACTGCAGGCCGTGGAAGGTCAGTAGTTCAGCAGTTCGAGACCCGGGTGCCGCATGACGGAGTGAGCTCCCATCTCTAGTTCCAGCTCCTGCCAACCTAGCAGTTCGAAAGCAAGACATTGCAAGTAAATAGGTACCACTTCGGTGGGAAGGTAACAGCGTTTCGTGCGCCTTGGTGTTTAGTCATGCCGGCCACATGACCACAGAAACGTCTTCAGACAGCGCTGGCTCTTCGGCTTTGAAACGGAGATGAGCACCACAACCCTAGAGTTGGATTCGACTGGCTTTCGAGCAAGGGAACCTTTACCTTTTAGCCAGTCTAAGAAGGGGCAACGCTAATCTTAGCTTCTTTGGGAACAGTTACAGTATATTTTTAGACCTACGTTCACCCTTCAAACACTATTGAAGGGCTGCAATTTCCCACACCCAAAGTCCATGCATTTGACTGACTTTTACATTGTGGAATACACGTATTGGGTCTGGGTGCCCACCCGAGGTCCTGTGTAACAGAGTAGTGAGTTTCAGGTTCTCCTCAGTTCCTGTGTGTGTGATGTCCAGTTCAGATCACAACTGTGGTACATGTGGAGCAGGGTCTTCAGCCACGCCACCCCCAGCCATTTTCCTAATGTTAAACAGTCCTGGCCTGTTGAGGAAACTTACATGTGCCCTCAGCTCCAGCTAAGAGGCCTTGTCTGCCATCACCATCAATAAAGCTATCAGAGGGAGGAGGCAGCTAGACACCCCTCCCTCATATCTGGCTCAGCTGAGAATCCTTTCCCCAAAGGACATTTGTGTTTAATTATGTCATTAGTATTGCTTCTGGATTCCTATGAGCTACTTTTGGAGTCTGTTCTGTATGAAAAGCAGGATTTAAAAAATTAAACAAATACATCACACTTGCGGTTTCTTGAGGTATAACGCTCCCTCCCTCTTGAGGTATAACACTACCACCAGAGGTTCAGGTTTCCAGTCTGATGAGACAGAACAATTATGGTAATACGGAGCTCGAAGATCTGTGTCATAGCAAGGTCTTTTGCCTAAAACACAATCGCTATCTTACAATGTATTGTTGTTCCCAAACATTGTGGTCCATCATTAGAAAAAACTAGGCGTTAGGCCCCTTGAGTTGCTTTAGCACTCCTAGCGGACAGCTACGTTTTCCTTCCCATCTGGAAAACTTGTAAATGACTGAGCATAAATCAAAATGGAGGAGGGGGAGGGAAAGGAAGCAATCTGGTACAGGCTGACAGCATGCATTTGTATTTCATGAGAAAGGACTGTTCCTTCCTGTGAGGTGTGACAATAGCTCACGCTGGTTTTCTGAAATGGGGCAAAGCAGATGTCGGGGCTGGCAGCTTAGGCGTAGAAAATCAATCGTACGGAGATTTAGCTGGCACCTGTTTGTCTTTCTGGGAGGTCAGCAACTCCCAAAGTTTTCAGTGCAGTTAGGGTGGTGCTGCTTACATTGCTTTTTGCTTGTGCTTAAAAAAACACACACATGCGTTGTGTGTTCCAATAGTTGCTGTATCAGAGCACTTGCTCAGTGCCAAATGACTGTGGTGTTTCTTTATTTAGTTTTCTCCATATGTAATTACAGCGCCAGTTCCTTGCTCTGCTCTCACAAGCAGTGGCTGTTCCTGTTGCAGAATGACAGAAGGAAATATCCAGGATGGTAAGTTTTAATACTTTTTTTAAAGTCTTGAGATGGTACATGCATTTATTGCAGAAGGCATCATGTTAGAGCCTAACTACAGGATATAGTCTTAGTGTCATGTTCGGGTCATTAGACATGTGCTGGTAGTGCCCCACTGGGAATTCAGCTCCTAGGTATTCAAAAGTCTGATTTGGTTCTGGATCATGGGGCACAGGGAGAGGTGGCTTAAGTGTCTTCTTGCTTCATTTTCCTGACCTGAAATGGCCTGGGGTGGCAATTGCTTTCCCCCCTATGAGGCTCCACTTATACTGATGGGATAACAGAGTAGTTTCCTGACTTGGGTAGCCCATGCTAGGCTGATCTTGTCAGATCACAGAAGCTAAAGCAGGGTCAGCCCTGGTTAGTACTTGGATGGGAGTCCACTAAGGAAGCCCAGAGATGCTATGCAGAGGCAGGCAATTGCAAACCACCTTGGAATGCCTCTTGCCTTGAAAACCCTACAGGGGTGCTGTGTCGGCTGCAACTCGACAGCACGCCCCTCCTCCCAAAAACCCAGGGCAAACAGCAACCTTCCCAGAGCCTTTTCAAGTCAGGAAAACGGGGCCGGGGCCGGGGTCGGGGTGGGGGGTGTTCTCCCTGTTGTGTCCTGCCATTGACATGTAATGTAAAGCTTGAAACCTCAGCCGGATTCTAATCTGGAACAACACCATTGGCTGAAGCATAATCTGTAACCAATGGAATATAAGAGTCTGTGCTGGAGGAAAGAAATGATTGGGTGTTATCTCTGTAACCTGATTGGATGTTAACTATGTGAGGGTGTGGCTACCCCAGCCGGGAGAGTTTAAAAGGAGCTATGCTCCACTGTTGTTTTGTGTGTGTCATCGTGTCCTCTGATGCTGTGTGATCTTTGGAAGTTCTCGTTCTCAATAAAGCTGATTCACTTTGTTACTTACTTCGTTGTTGAGTTGCATACTTAACACTCCCCATCTGTGTTGTGGTCCTGATCTGAATTAGGAGTTCACAGCAGTGAATGTGCAGTTCACTTCTGATAGCAAGTCCTCATGGTGGACCCAGACAAGACATGATGACTGCATAATGTGTAGTTTGGCACTTAGAAGCAGCATTCTCTTGTGAGTGAAAGGGGGAATGCATCTTCCAAGATGGTTTCTCCCACCTATAGTTTTTACATGTTATTGTTTTTTTAAAAAAAAAAAAGCTCCAAGAGGAGTATTTCCCCCCCTGATTTTTAATTTAGGTGGGTTTCTGTTACTGGAGGGCAAAGTCTGTATGGAGGGAAGATCTATAGTTGCAGGATGGCTGAAGGAACTGAGTGCATCTCTGTGTAGATCAGAGGTACTCACTCTGCTGCTCATGGAGAACCACATCCACAATTACCATCAATCAAAAGAGCCTAATGACTACTGTATGCTCCCTGCACTATCCTACCTAACACAAACATACAATAATATAGAACTATTACATACATAACTATGGCCCCGGTCACATGGGCCGGATATCGCGGGGGGGAGGCGTGGCTGTTTGCCTCGGAGTGAACTACCGCGCGGCCGCCGGATCAAACGTCCAGCCGACGTCCTGTGGTTCGGGGGGAGGTTAGGGTCATACGTCAATCCTGTGCTGCGGCAAAGAAGTGGCGCGCCGGGGGTTGTGGTTTTTTTAAAGCAAAGTGCGCGCATGCGCCATTGGGTGCTTGTGCGCATCCCGTGGAGACTTGGGGGGAAAAAACCCTTTTCGTGACGGGACATGGGTGGGCGCCGGATGCCACGAGCTACCACCGGAAACGTGATCAGACGCCCGCCCTTGCCCCGCGGTTTTTGGAAACGAGTACCTCGGAGGTACTAGTTTTTTTTTACTGCGCATCTTCGGCGGGAAGCCTCGGGTTTGCCATGGGAGCTCTACGCTTCCCAGATGTTGCTGTGTGATCGCGCCCGGAAAATCTGCCTATCTTCCGTCTCTGTAGCGTGGCTAATGCTCCGTGTGACCGCAGCCTATAATACTTTTAATTACCAGACTATTGAGCATGTGGGGTTCTATCCCCACACCACTGTTGAACCTTTGCCAACCCTTGAGTTTCTGGAGGGGAAGGGCTTCCCTCTCTGCCTTCTCACTCTCTCCACCGCATGGGGAACAGCAGCTCAGATGACAGAGTGAGATTACAGAAATGCCTGGAGGAGAGCAAGCTGTCTGGAGGAAGGGGAATAAAACCATCACCACTCTGCTCTGGCCAGCTTGCTTTTTTCCTGGGTGGCTGCCATGATGATGGTAGTGGTGATCATACATTTTCTGGGCACAGCTTGCATTCCTCACAGGTCCTGCCTGGGCGCTAGGATGAAAGCGCAGAGCCTGCCAAGAGGGAAGGCTGTCAGAGAGGATGGACCTTTACTTCCACCCTGCCACGAGGCCCACATCTCAGGGTGGTTCACACCCTCCTGTCCCTGCAGCAGTACCTGTTTCAAAGTGGGAACCACAAGCACTATAGAGCAATGGCCTTGCTTGCTTTCCTGGAACATGGGGTGTGCATGCGCCACAATGTGGAACAGTGCCCAGAAGAGCCACAGGTGGCCTGTCAAAGAGCCACCTTTGGTTCCCAGACCACTGAGTGAGTATTAGTGCTGTAGACTGAGATGCTTTGAATGGTGCTATCACCCTCCTGGAACTGGGAACAGTTGGCCATTCAGTGAAATGGGTGGTGTACCACAACATGCATTTATATAAAGTAAACATAAGAAACTGTCTGAGTCAGACCATCCAGGTCTTTACTGTTTACTTTGAAGGAAGCAGCTCTCAAGTAGGAAATGGCCTTTCCTAACACCCGGTACCTGGAAAGGCCATGGATTGAATCTGTAACTTTCCACCAGCAAAGCCATATGTCACAGACCCTCCCACATTGTCCCCAATGGGGCAGTTATTTTTAGTTTGCATTTTTCAATTGTATGTCTGGTCTACAGCCTGTATTATGTAGCAGCCTGAAATTGAATAGCCCAGACTAGCCAGAGCTTGGAAGCTAAGAAGGGTTGGCTGGCTGGCTGGCTGTGTGGTTAGTATTTGGATAGGAAACCACCCAAAGAAAAAGAGACTTGCTGGGTAGAGAAAGACAATGCAAACCACCTCTGCTCATCTCTTGCCTTGAAAACCCACAACGAGTTGTCATACATGATGGCAATTATTATTATGTCTGTTCTGAGTTTTGTTTAAAAAAACCCTAAATAAATAACATTTTATTATTATTGTTGTTGCTATACCAGTTTCATATTTTGGGAAGAACTGTTGATGACTTTCTGCTAGTTTCTCCATTGATGCTAGCCTTTCTGGAAGATGAGCTTTTCTTCAAGGGTTCAATGGATGGCTGACTCGTGGGTTCCACCTCTGGCAAGACAGATGTAGTAGACCCTCTCTTGCTATCGTGGGTTTCGTCACTAAGTCTTCGAGAAAGCGTCGACTGCTTTGGGGTGGGCAATGGACCTTCAGATTCTGAAGCGACACTTGGGAGCTTTACTGAACTATCCTTAGAGAAAAAGGACTTCTGAGAAACTACAGACCTCGTGGGGCTTTCATCCATGATCGAAAGAGACTGCTTACTTGGTTCTTTGTCTAGAGGTTGTACTACTTCCTCAGCTTGAGGAAACTGTGGTGGAAGTATCTCAGTAATCTTTGTTTGTTTGCTACCTTCTTGCCCAGGAGAGAATGGTCTTCCTTTCGTTTTGATAACCTTGACTTCCTTCTTCTCTGTGGGTGTTGCTGTGACCACCACTTTCCCAGTGGGCATTTCATGCTTAAAAGCAACACTCTTCTTTGTGACTCCTGGCTTCTTCTTATTGGCAGGCTTCTTCTTATTGTCCCCAGCTTTCTTTTTGTCACCTGCTTTGAGTTTAGGAGTCTTGGGCTTAGGTGGGCGTGGTGCATAGATCTCTTCATTGACTTTTGCCCAGTCAATCTGAGAGGATAAGCGTATCCCACTGCCCTTGATTCTCTTGTAACCAAACATAATCTCGAGGAGAACCTTGGTAACAGGAACGGAGATGAAACCCAGCTTCTCGGAAAGGATGGTTTCGTAGTTGTACTTGTATATTATAAGTTTGGCTGCATTTTCAATCAGAAAATCAATTATGGATTGCTTTGGGAGAGGTCGAGCTTGCAGGCGTGCCCGCTTGATGTCTTTGGTGGTAATAATATGTCTTGCAAGCACCTGGAAAGAGTAACCATGGGAGAAACAGAAGATCACTGAGCAATTATTTATTCATTAAAGAAGCATAAAACATACAAAAATATCAAAATGTCATAATAAAGTATTATTTTATTTAATTTTATGTTTTTTTAACTTTATAGCTTTAATTAACCTACATGCTATTAAAATTAACAGTAAGATCCAACAGGCACACATAACACTGAAACTTATAGTATAATTTATTTCAAAATAAAGAAAAGATACACTGACATTTTGTTGTACCATTTAATATGCAATGAAGAAACTCCGACCTCTTTCTCATCCCCAGTTCCAAACCCTCTTGTCTCACCCTTTTCTTTAGGCTCTGCTTTGTTCCAATAGGAAAGAAAGGGGGAACACAGCCATATATTGACACACAGTTCCTCAGAGAACAAGCTTTCCCCTCCCAGAACCACATACTCCCACGACCAGGGCCACATTCTGCTTCTGTTGGGATTGGTCCCCTACTGTAGCCTGTTTGAACCAACTACCCTGTGGGCAGAAGAAGCAGGGGAGGAGAAGTGTCGTCATGGTCATTTATACTTGCTTCCACTTCACCAGCTGTGATTAGGACTGGCTTGGGTTGCCAACTGACCAGGGGTGGAGTTCAGGGCAGGGAGCTCAGCAGAGATGTGATGCCATACAGTCTGCCCTCCAATGCTGACATTTCCTCCAGGAAACTGATTTCTGTAATCTGGAGAAGAGTAGTACTTCCAGGATTCCCAGGCCCCACCTGGAGATTGGTAACCTTACATTATTTAATAATAAAATAAATTGTTTTTTAAAAATGGGGTAG